GATCAGAATTGCTAAAATCAGTTCTGAAGTTTTCAGACAAACAGTGCTTCAATACAGCGTATGGTTAAGTATGGCACGGTTTGGCGATGGCGCATCCTCGCTTCACGTTATGATGCAGATCGAGTTTTGCGTCTAGGTTCGAATAGCTGTTAAGTCAAATCCGAATTTGCGAATTCCCATTCATTCTCTGTTTTCGCCTTCTCTGCTCGTTGACTCTTATGCATTTACTTTTCCATAAACTTCGCTATCACCTGTATGCATGACCATCACCTTGTCTTTTATTCTCATTTCTCGTCATTATTAATTTCTGGTTTGATGAAGAATCGTTATTGAATGTTTGGTTGTTATGTTATGATTGTTTTTGATGTTGTGATTATGTTTAGTTATTGATTGTTTATGAACGTTATGGTTGTTTTTTTAGAAATTCTGGCCAAATTCGTCGTTCATCATTGAACACGTACTGCGGCCTTAGACAAAGGACTGTGATTCGTATTCTCAGATGTTCAGGTTGCTGTTCAAGGTTCGTTTTCATTTCCAGTGCATCAACGTTCGTTGCTATTGTACACCTGAGGTCAATCGCAAGCTGACGCTTCGTTGGAGCAGAAGAATGAGCGAGAACCTGGCCGAACTCTCGAAACTGTACGTTTTTCACGATAAAGCGGAGAATGTTTTGAGACTGTTGTTCAAGTACCCGGTGAACGGTAAACAACAATGCTTGTTGTTCATGCGCCCAACGGATGCCTTGCTGATGGAAACGCTAGAGAGAGTGAAACTGAAGATCAACTGTGCCGAGATGAAGTGGTTGGCTAAAACGTCTCGGGTGAACGACGAGCAACTGAACAATAGTTTATTGGCTCTGGACGACGTGATGGTCAACAACGCTGCCGGGATGCCGTTGGACTTAGGGCTGACCAACGAAGCAGCATTTGTCATCAGTGGTAGATCTCTATGGATCAGGAATCAGCGGTACGATATCGTCGTGGACGTGCCGCACGTCCAGAAGTTACGATTGTCGTCGAGACTGTTCGTTGGTCTGCCGCTGTTTCCTTCGCTGAGTGTTGCGAACACCACCTTCGACCGTTGCAAGTTTCTGTGGTTCGTCAGAGATGCGTCGTCGGAGCCGCTGAAGGCCCTTAAACATTTGCATGTAACGATCGACCACGAAACTTTGCGTTGCGACATTCCGCGCTTTACACTAAGATGTGAAGAGCCAGTGTTCGTGCCTTCAGCAGAAGACATCGGCAAACGTGTATGTATCGTTTGCCTACCGATGAACGAAAATGGTTCCGTCGGCCTTGCTTGTGCTCAATTGGCGACGGACGTCGTTGAGTCAGGTCCACGGACGCTTATCTTCGACGAGAGACTCAAATTGTGTTCATCGCCTTGTAAGGATGACTCGTATGCTCTTTATGGCAAAGACAACGATCATATGATCACCTCGTGCTCTTCTAGATATCGTTTCGTCTCCTACAACATCCTCGCTGACTTATATCTCGATCTCAAGACCGACAGTGATAGCCTGTTTTTCAAATATTGTCCGGTCGAGTTCCAACATTTTTCTTACCGCATGCCTTTGCTGCTAAAGGAACTGCCGGGTAGGGCCTCGCAGCGTTATCGTTGCTGATGCTCGTTTTATGACCGTCTATATTATAGGTTACAATGCCGACATATACTGTCTACAGGAGGTTGGTCAGGGGACCTATTTTGATGTGCTCGAGCCGTACCTGCGTCTATTCGGCTTGAAGGGGACGTTCGTAAAAAAAGGGGCTGATATTGGCGAAGGTCTAGTGACGTTCTACAATGAGCAAAAGTTTAGGTACTTATTTATATTGTTATATTGTTTACTCTATTACTTTCCTTAGCACTTAATTTAAAACTTTTATTTTACTCTGTATTGCGAAACATCTTACACAATTGCTTTCTTGCGTTAAGTAAATACTTGCTAGAATATCATTCCTAATATTGTACTCTCTGTTTTAGTTTGTGAGGCTGAGTTCCACTCAAGAAATATTTTTGTAGTCTGTTTGTTGTTGTTTTGTCATCGTCATCAATGATTAGCAGAGGCTGAGTATCAGAGTAACCCAGATTTATGTCTGACCTTACGAGTGCCATCATCTTACCAATTTTCTCTATGATATTTCTCTCAAGCGCCATTTTTTACGATTACATCATAAATCTTTATAATTCTGCTGTTTAAGTCTCAGATAATGATGACAACGGAAGAAAATGATAAGCTGTCACCTTTGTTGAGAGAACAAACCTCAGATATTTTGCGTACAGTGCACTGCAGTGCCGTACAATGAAACGTGGTCAAAGCGAAATTCAAAGGATGGAAATAAATTCGAATAACGGAAGAGCGGATTGATTCAGATTTGTGGAAAAATTAACCCATTTTACGAATATTAACATGGTTTTCAGAAATAGGCATGCCTTGTCTATAAATTTGCATTTAAATAAAATTTTGGTAGATGCGCTTTCGAAAGTGATCATTAAACTTTGTTTCTCTAATTGCGTATACGATGGAAATGTGTCACAAAGCAGACAGCTTATGATATCATTAATTATAAACATTCTATAGGGATACTGATGTTTCAAACCGAGCACCGTCTGCCTTCAAAGTATCTCGGAACACAGACTAAAATTTATCTGATACTTCGATATCTGTATAGAATATTTGTAGTTATAGGTTTTATACGTTGTTCTCCCGTTTGTGAATTTCAAAGCGCACTCTCGTCTACTTTGTTAACAACTCTTGTACTATTTTCAGCAATGCAAATATTGAAGTTGTCACTGTTAGCAACCATGTATTTAATATGTTGTATGAAGCGGTGAATAAAATCACCAAGTATTTGTCGTTAAGCAAAATCGATTAGTTTAAAGTAGTCATTAATTTTTCCGTCTTTCAGTTTCCTGCGCGTAGTATTGCATGATGTCTCCAAGGTTCTGTGTGCAACTTGCTGTTGAGCCTAGGCCCTGATCACCTTCCAGTGTAAGATGCAACCTTGCTTGGTCCTCACTTTATCATCTGCTGTTGCGAAACCTAACCGCGTAATGCCCTAGATGGTAGAAGTAGAAGACAGATGCATCAACGAAACGCGCAATTTTGCCTTCAATTTTTCATGAATTTTAATTCGAATTATTCAAAAGAGAGTGTATTATTTTTATTAGCAACGGATTAAATTTCTTTCCAGTTGTAATTTATCACATTTTTTTGTACTTAATATTTATTCAATCTTAAATTTGAAATATTTTCGAGTTATACCAAAATTTCAATAAAAAAATTTCAAATTTACCAAATTTGATTGCATTTATGTTTTTTACTTTATGCCTTTTTGCAGTTTTCTTTATTCCGACAACATCGTGCTCGCTGACTTGTTGATCGGGGAACATCCGGAGTACAGTGCTGTTCTGACGCCGCTGCTTAGCAAAAAGGATGACGTTGAAGTGATGAAGTTGAGGCCTCAGGTTTTACAGGTACCAAGTAAACAGCTTGCTCATATTCGTGTTCTTTTTAAATGCACTGTCATAATTTTTCGACTAAAGATCTTTCTTTATAAGGAGTTCCTTTGTTGATTGTTTTATGGATAATCGAAAACAAAGCACCACTTGACTATTCCTCTTTATCGATTAAATGGTATCACCATTGCGAAGTCTCTGTGCCCTCGTTCGTCCGACTCGGGCAGTTTTTGCCAGAGCTTCCATATACCTCGTTTAGCTCATCGCACTATCTCAGCTGAGGACTTCCATTTCGGCGCTCGCAGCCCTTTGAGTACTAATCCATCACGGCTGAAGTCCATCGGTCATCCTTCAGTCGTGCGATATGGTGTCACTGAAGTTACGCGCAGGTGATTAGGGGCCACTTTTGTTTGTGCCTTCCATTTTATTCGATCGTAGCAATGCTTTTAGCTGCTACCAACGCTTGCCAGGCGTCTTGGATGATACGTCCGCTATCCTTTCAAGCGGCTGTATGGGAGTGCAGATGACGGCTCTGAAGCTTGGTCCTCTTGGAGTTTTCCTCCTTGAGTTCAGGCACGGCTATCTTTGTTCTTCGGTTTCTCTTCAGCATCACAGAGCGATACCTCATCTAGCGGATGGAAAATAAAGCTTTTGTTTACCGTTATACAGTTTGCACTATACACCTTTTGTTTTTCTTGAGAATACCACAATGCGTTAAAAAAAACAACGCACTGTACATCACAGGAGCCACTACAGCAATGCCACTTGTGCGCTGAAGAAAGAACGCAAGGTGACTTGTTGGACTTCATTCGGAGTGCCACTAACAGGCTTACATTCAGTGATTCTATAAGCCAGGTTGGTTTCTACTAAGAACATCAATACTGATCCCAAGCGCGGGTCGTAGAGTCGACACGTGAGTGGAATAGTTTCCACCTGCACAGGTTAATAATTCCAAAGCGCTAGAGCTTCGCTGACGAAGTCCCACTATATCCAGTCTGTATCTTGCGGAATTATGAACCAGCTCCTTATCTTTTTCTCCGAGTGATTAGATATTCCAATTTCCGACGTAAAGTCACTTTGTCGGTGTCATTCCCCTGATGGTGCTCTATATCGGCATCGCGCTCTCTGCGTTCTCCATTCAGAAAGAGTAGCGAATTCCGTTGCTGACTGGTACTTCCGTTATCTTCGTTTCCTTCTTCGGTAGTTGTCATAGTGCTGCTACGCGCCCGGTTGCCAGAAAGCATGAAGCAAATTCGGATCACCGATTGTTGGCATTCTGCCTGTTGCGAACAGCTTCGGCGGCCCTTGATAAACCGGACGACGACCGAATCTGTATAGCCATTGGGATAGGCAGCTGAGTTTCACTTGAACCTCGCCGTGGTCTCCAGCCCTTCTCCTTTCCCTTCCAGGCCTCGGCCGACAGTGAAGTTACTCTTTTTATCCTATTGTTAGGTTGTGGTTCTTGTTCAGTGTGACAGACCACTTGAAATCTTATCATGGTTTATAAATAAAACGTATCAAATCTGATCAGTTTCACAGCTCCAAACTACTTTCGACTTTTGCTTAAGATTCATTTTCTTGTGTCTTAATTCTCACCATGACTTCAAGTATGAATGGATTAATCCATCTTCAAGCAGTTGTGGGTGTAGTAGTCTAAGATCACTTTGATAACTTTACAGCGG